CACACACACACACACACACACACACACCCCTACACACACACCCCTACACACACACCTACCTTCATGCTGTTAAAAGTCATTTTTCCATTCCTTTCCCCAGATTAGCTTTCTGGCCCTTAAACAAGCTCCATGGCCATCTGACAACTTGGGAGCTGAGAGCTATACCTTTCCTTTAAAATTAGAAAGATCTACACTTAAGCAAAAGGAAAAACATCTTGCCCACAACTCCTCTGTCACTAACTGACCGCTATTAGTTATCTGTAGGCAACATGAAGAATCTCTCCTTTTTCCATCACCTTGGGAACAGCCCATGAACCCTTTCTCTGTTCACCACGCTCACTGCCTGAGCCTTTGGGGGCCTATTGATCAACATTCCTATTGTGGCTTGTACTTTGAACATCTAAATTCACAGAGAAAAGCTTTTTATTGCTACCCCCTACCACTACCACCAATTAATAGACCACTACAGAGGTACCTTGTGGAAAGATCTTAGGAAAAGAGAGAAAATGCTGGGTCACAATATGCTCAAGTGAGATTAAATGATAGTAGCAGGAGCTGAAAAGAGTAAAATCAAAAGAAAAGATCCACTGTTGCCAAAATACAATAAAAACTTATTTTCTTAGTCACCCTATTGTCTGGTTGAATCATGGTGTGAGGCTACCAATCACCATTCTTCTTCCCCTTCTTGGCAATAGTATGGCTGAGATATTTCAATTCTCTTTACATTTCAATTCTCCATTACATCCAGGGACATTCACTTGAAACAACAATTTACATATTTTCAACTAATGTTTGTAACCTAACAAGCCAAAATCAACCCATTCCCTTGTAGATAATGTGTTAAAACTGCTTTCTTGAAAACGATTTGCATACATAAATGTTATCATAAGAGATGTTCTCATTGTTCTTTCCCTTTAATTTTGAATTTTTTAGGGATTGCCAGGAGAACATGGTATCCCAGGAAAACAAGGCATCAAAGGAGAAAAGGTATAGCTCACATTTTATTCACTCTCTATTAAAAAGGTAAGTAGGAGGAACAGACCAAGGATCTTAAGGACACTGGGGAGGTAAGAGGACAGCACAGGCTCGTAGAACTATACCTGGGATAGCCTTGCATGTAGAAGACAATGTGAATGACTCCCCTGGAGCATGCATGGCCACTGCCCTGATTCTTGCATAGAAATGCCATGTGAAAAATGAAACAACTTAGAGATGAAGATGCCAGGAGTCAGGCTCATGTCAAGTTTAACTGCCAATTCTGGTGTAGACCTAAGAAGTCTCTGCATCATTCAGGAATTCCATGGAAACACCATATTAATGCTACATGGAAATAACATGTTTATGTTGAGTCATTATTAGGAAATAGAACAAAGATCATCCAAAGAACCTTATGAATAGATACACCCCTTTTGTGCCTACATTTATACACGTCTATGTTACATGATACTGATAAACTTATTGCACCATAACTCATTACAAAATCTCAATGTATTTGACATAAGTAGGATAGTGCTTAGTATGAGTTAGACACTTAGTAAATATTATTGAGGGAGTGAATAGATAAGTGAATGAAGTTTGCCTGGTTATGATGACAATTTAAAACAGTAAAAACTACTGATTCCCCAGTTCCCATCACAAACCTGAGCAACAAAGTAAGAATCTCATCTTGTTTTCCTCAGGGAGATCCAGGTGGGATTATAGGCCCTCCTGGGCTTCCAGGTCCAAAAGGTGAGGCCGGTCCTCCAGGGAAAAGCCTGCAAGGGGAACCAGTAAGTACCAGCTCTTTTTCTAATGTTTCTCTTGGAACTTCATTAATGACTACATGTGAGCTCCCAGTTTGAGAGCACAAGTATAAGTTTAAGTGTACCAAAGAAGAAACATCTTTAGATCACAGTTATAACCCTTTTAAAGGTTCAATGCAAGCAAAGCCTCTCTTCTGAAGAAATATACATGCACACACTGTTTTTATGTGGAAGATTCATATACCCCCTGAATCCTCTGCATGGATTCCATAGGGACCTATGGATCCAAGTAAAGTACACTGCTTTTAAAGCATAAGCCTTTTTGGACACTCTCTTAAAACTGAACTGTCTGATACTTCCCTCTGGAGGTTTTACAGATGTCACCATAGGTTGTCATTTGCAGAAAATATCTCTGTGATCCAGACTTTTCCCAGAACATAAACTGGTGATCCAGTTTTATATGCCTTTTTTTTCTGCATCACTTTGAACCCTTTATATTAGTTAAGAATGAGGATAATAATAAGTTTCAATATGAGATAGTTTATACATAAGAGCCTCATATATTAAAGTAACTATACAAAATCTATAACCTATTGAAATTTGTTTCTAATTCCTTATTCTTACAAGATTCATTCAAGTAAAGTGAAGAGCAATTAAAACTATTTTTCTAAGATTTTTAAAAACTTTTTAGAAAAATAAATGTATTTACTCTTTTTTTTTTTTTTTTAGGGATTAGATGGAAATCCTGGAGCACCTGGTCCACGTGGGCCAAAGGTATTAAAATATTATAGATAATTTTAAAACATTAATAATGAGCAAAATATAACCAAAAAAGCCATGTCTCTTGAGCCTTGTCTTAACAGAAGCACCTCATTTCACAGGGTGAAAGAGGACTGCCAGGTGTCCAAGGCTCCCCAGGTGACATGGGCCCACCAGGGGCAGGAATTCCCGGAAAAACAGTAAGTAAAATTCAGCCGGGCTCTTGAAACTCTGTTGAATTCGTTATTATGAAACAAAATTCAATGTGAAGTCTCAGTAAGGAGAAAAGAAAACAAAGATCAGAGGAGAAAATACAAATGATCACTATCCAGAGAAGACTGATGGGCTTTGAAGGTCCGTCATTAAGTGTACAGAGAAAGTTCACTGCTGATTGACTTCTTCGTACTAGTTACAGATCCACTGATTTTGGATTAGCAATCATTTAACCCTTTGTACTTATAGTTATATACTAGATAGTACAAATGCATGTCCATAAGATGATATGAATACCTCATATTGTGTTATTAAATATTACTATTTATTTTTAAATAAGAAGTTAATGTTTAAAGTGATAGAGTATTTATAAAGAGTTATCTAAATAGAACAAAAGACATTCCTATTGTCAGGAAATTCCAAGATATTAAGAGTTCTCTGACAGAAATCAGATTCAAAGATTAAATGCTTTAACAATATTGCTAAGGATATTGCAAGAGTTTTCGACACTCAGTGTCAGAAACCAAGGGCAGAGACCAAATACATATTTTTATTATATCACAATATCACAGCCTTACTTGACATTGTCATAAAAAATAAAATAAAGCATAGATAGAGATAGGTTATATTGTATATAATTAGTGTTTGATTTTCTAGGGAAATGTTTTAGTCCATTTTCTGTTGCTATAATAGAATACCAGATACTAGGTAATATGTAAAGAATAAAGATTTATTTAGCTTGTGGTTCTGGAGGCTGGGAAGTCTAGCATCTGGTGAGGACCTTCTTGTTGCATCATAACGTAGTTGAGCTATCTATCTTGGGTCTTTCACCTTCTTTTTATAAAACTATTAATACCATTATGGAGACTCCACTCATAACTTCATCTAATCCTAATTGCCTCCCAAAGCCCCACTTCCAAATAACATTAATTGAATTTGGGGATTAAGTTTCCAACATGTGAACCTTGGAGGAGATGTTCAAACCATAGTGACAAAATGTAAAAGACTGTTGAGATTAAAAAAAAAAAAACAAGTAAAAGCAACAAAACACGTATACACATACACCTAGATGCATCCATATGTGTACACCTATGTGTATACAAAAATCATGAACTTTTAAGGAGGTATTGAGTTTAAAGAAAAAAATCACTAAGGACACAGTATAGACAGAGAGGGAACAAAAGGCTTTAATAATAACAGTGATATGAATATAGATTTTAAAATATAAGAAAGATCAGTGAACAGTTACTGAAATCAACTTCTGAGAAACTAGTGCTTTGCTTGGCTTTGGTTGTAAATTCTTAGTTCAGTGGCCTGTGGATATTTAATAGGGATAAAACTAGTATCATATGTTCTCTGATCATCTCAGCCTCATTGTGGTTACTCCAAATTCCAGTTTTCTAAAAGTAGAAAACAATACCTGATGCTTTACTTCTTATTCCTGTCACCAAACACTAGTTCTGGTCATTTCTTCAAAGAGAAAAGACTCAAAGTTGAATGAGAGAGAAAGGTATCCCTGGCCAGTTATCCCTGTGAGCAGAAAGGGAACAAAAAGTTTCTGGTCAGGTGGAATTTGGATGTGTTGCTTCTGTACTCTTGAGTGTGCAGCCACGTGGGATGGAATGAGAGACATTCCAGGGATCTGAGCAAAATCATGATGTTTTAAGCAACAGGTTTTTGGTAAAGTGTTTATCTACCACCCAAAGTTGTAGCTAGCAGTTACCAGAGTGTTCTTGGTGGCAAATGCTGTTGTTCCACTAAGCAAATTACAGTACTTAGTTTTTTTGTCTCAGCTGGATAATTCATGGGAATTCTTGGTAGAATTTTGATCATTTATCTTATTTTACTCAGGGCTCCCAAGGACCAACTGGAGAGCCAGGTATTCAGGTATGCTACTTAACTAAGTTATCCAGCACAACAAATCTAACTTGTTTTCTAGAGGAAATTACAGAAAGACTGTTCTCCTAAATAACTACTTTCATTTTCTTCCCTTTCCAGGGTCCTCGAGGTCTCCCTGGGTTACCAGGAACTCCAGGGACCCCAGGAAATGATGTAAGGACCTTCTTTATCTATCCTTTCCCCAACCCCTGTTTTAATCTGCAACTATCCCAACTTGCAAAGATTTGAACATGATGCCTCTGTTTTCAGGGAGCTCCAGGAAGAGATGGAAAGCCAGGACTGCCAGGTCCCCCAGGTGACCCGGTATGTACACAGACTTTCCTGATTTATGTATCATTAATGCACCCAGAAGCCAAACAGCCTACCAAGCAAATTTTGCTGTCCAAACTAATTAGAATGTTCAGTGACTGCTTGGTGATTTTGTTTATCCCCATTATTTTGTAGAGGGAAAAAAATCCAAGCTGGGTCAGCATTTTTGTGTTTGTGATGAATGCTTATTTCCTAAGGGTGTAATTCAGCTATACAGTTTTGCCCCAGGCTGAGCCTTAGCATATAATATCTCAGTTCCATGGAAAATTGAAATAAAACATATAGACACAATTTCTATTCTTTCTAATGCTATTGACTAAATGAATTTCATTTTTCTAAATGAAAGTTTGCAGGTAAGTTACCTACATTATGGTACACATTCACTGGTTCTATGGCTTTAAAATGCTGAGATAGATTAAATTATGAAAACTGGCTTGAGTAGGCCCTTGGAAAATGGGGTTTAGGCACTAAATGTGTGTTCTAAAGTTTTTTCTTAGGTTAAACCTTGCTTTGAGTGACAGTGAAATCCCTTTAAATAGCCACAGACCCGGTGGTTATACTTTGAGAGGCCATATGGTACATGACATTGTATTAAGAATTTTGTGTAACAAAATCCAAATCTGGCCTCTCGGTTCTAAGCCTCACAAATCCTTTCTACCTCCCACACTGTTTGGGCTTTAGGTTCCTTTGTAATACACATGCAGAAGCAAGCATGACCTTACTTTAACTCCACAATCAAATGAATATGTGTGGCTCATGTGGGAATCTTGTAGTGTTACCTGGTTTTATAGAGTGTCTCTTGGAAAGCACATTTTAAGACATCTGGTCAAAACATAGCCCAAGTTCCCTTTGTTTCTGTCTTGTCCATCACTTCCGCCTATGAAGGCTGTTTTGAACCTCTGTGAGAACAAGGCAAACTTATCCTGTACTCTTCATGTTTCTAACAGCCTGATAATGTGCTTGGCAGAGGAATGATTTCCTTGTAATAAATGATTTATCTTTATATAGTATTAAAACCAATAATAAAGGTTGCCATGTCATGAAAATGTAGAGATAGAGATGTAGAATCAAAACAATTATGAGTGTACATGTTCATGGCAGAAGAATAGTGAATATTTCTCAAAATAGTTCTGCATTCTGTCAGTGTCAGTTCAGTTACTTGACATGAAGCATAATGTTGAACCAATTATCCTGACAGTGAGACCTTAGAAGCCCCATGCTCCAAATCGTAACTGACATTGCATTTTGAAAACAATAAATCTATATTATGTTATACTCTTGCTTTGTACTGTGCTTATGTACATGTTTATGTGTTAGCTTTGCATCCCTCTGACAAAATACCTGATAAACAACTGAAGAGAAGAAGGAAAGATTTATTTGGACTCATGGTTTCAGAAGTTTCAATCAATATCCATTTGGCCCATTACTTTGGACCTGTGGCAAAGCAGAACATCATGGAGGAGAGGAAGTGATGGGGGAGTCTGTTCACCTAGTCTGTTCTCTGCCAGGAAGCAGAGAGAGAGAGGAGGAGGAGGAGCTAAATTCCCAATATACCCTTCAAAGGCACACCTTTAGTGACCTCACTTCCTTCCACCAGTTCCACCTCTTAAAAGTACCACCAGCTCCCAATAGTGCCATCAGCTGGCCTTTGGGAGACACATCAAGATCCAACTCATAACAGTTTAATAACATTTTTTTTCCTCTTTAACCACAGATTGCCCTTCCTCTCTTGGGAGACATCGGGGCCTTATTCAAGGTATTCTGTTGTTATGTAAGAAATTATGGTTTAATATCCAACAAAAAAAAATTTAAAAGAAAATCTTTACTAGAAATTGAGTTAATTGTTTGGCCTGGTTTTTAAATGGCATTTTAAAATGGAGAACATCTTTAAAATAGTAAAAATAATCTGTATTCCCCCATTCTCTTCTTTATCAGCCTTTTGGGTATGGAAATGGAGTGTGCAGCTCTCAGAAAAACCAAAGGGAAGGAACAATGTCATTAACCCTCTTGAAGATATTACACTCTCCTCTGGAACAACAGCTTTCCTTTGATGGGCATTTACCCACCCTGGCTCACTACTATAAAATCTAATCCTTCTCATTGTATCATCCTGGTCAGTCCCAGGATGAAAACCAGCACTGCTCAATAAACAGTTAGCTTACAAGGCAGAATTTTTTATGTCATGAGATTTTACAAAATGAGCTATAAAATTCCAAAGCCAACCATTGTCCTAACACCTGTCACCCTGTTAAATAAAAATGATCTCTACCTATTATCTAGCTCATAAAGAATTAATCTTGCTACAATTTTTCTTCCCTAATACTTTCCTATATTTTATCTGTAAAACAGATTGGAGGGCTGATAAATGAATAAGGTTATATTATCATTTCTTCATGATGCTCTGAGTGACTCTAGATGAAAATCTTGTCCTTTATGCTCATCCCTTATTTCTGTATGGATGAATAGACAGTGTGCATAAGTACACACACACAAACACTTGGAATATAGATGTGTATATATGGTTTAGTTTATGTTCCTAGGGTTTAGTCCAATGATTTGCACAATAATAAGCCATCAGAAATATTTATTGAATTGAATCTATCAAAAGACTCAAGTTCTATGTATGTATTTGGGTTTAGGGTGTTCATGGTCATATTCTGATTCCAACAATTTATTTAAAAATAAGTCTTTATAGGGCTTTTCACATACCCTTTTCCTTTAGCTATGTGATAAGTCTTATGTTTGTCCTGTTAGCTCAGACACATAAATGCAAGCTTTTCCAGACCAGCTAAAGGTTATAAAGAAGGCAACAGAAAGGTAATTCCACTTAGATTTTCTGTCTTCTCTTGGATTTGACGTTGGAGTCAAGTCCAGGTCACTCAAGTGACTTATTCACATGAGTGCCTCCACTGACAAATAAAATGCTAGTAAGCCCTGTGGAAGGTTTCTCAACTAATTTGTCTACCAAAGGAGAAATCCTTTCTTCCCAGGTTTTTCTTTGCCTTTTAATGACTTAAGTCATTTGTTGTATGTTCCCTGTAATCTTGTTGTTTACTCCAAACTTTAATACCACCTCCCTCTTTAAACATGTTGCTCAGCTGTTGAAACTCAAATCTTTGTTCTTGACTTATGAATCCTTTCCTTATTTATCTGGAACTTTCCATTTAAATATTATCAAGAGTGGTATTTTTTTAAATAAGCCCTCACCAATATCTCAGATATTACTAATAAGCTTTGATTTTTTTTTCCCTGCAAAGACAGTCTTTTCAAGTTGGATAAATAAGTTTCTGGAAACAGAGTGACCTTGCAATTGTTACATCACTTATTTCTGACAGAAGTACAACTATAACTTCAAATTCAATCAACCTCACTTTTTTAAATTGAAAACCCCTGACTGCATAATATATTTCTTTATTCCTTCAACAAGTACTAATTGGTGTGCAACTTTCTGTCAGGTTTTCTAGCAAACCCATTTATCCTTCAGACTCAATTTATTTTGTTATTAAAGCATTATAATTATACAAAATAGTTGGGTTCACTTTAACAAAACCATACATACCTGAAATTGATGTACTCCATTTGCAACCCTGTTCCCCCTCTTTCCCTGCCTTCCTTTCTCCCCACATTCTCCTCCCTCTACTGATCTACCTGTTGCTCATTTAATTTTGATTGGTACTTTCCACATATACATAAAGGTGAAATTCACCGTGGTATAACTTAATTCCACATTTTCTCCCCTTTCCCACCTCTTATCACTCTCTATCTCCTCCCTCTACTGATCTTCCCTGTCTCTTTGATATCTGATTCTCACACACCTTCTTTTCCCTTATTTTGCTCTAGCTTCCACGTATGAGATAAAATATTCAACTCTTGATTGTCTGAGTCTGATTTATTTCACTTAGCATGGCATTCTCCATTTCCATCCATTTATTGGCAAATGCCATATATATGTACCAAATTTTATTAATCCATTCATCTATTGACAGGCATGTTGGCTAGTTCCATAATTTTGGCTATTATAAATGTGCTGCTATAAGCATTGTTGTGACTATATCTCTATAGTGTGCTAATTTTAGCTTTTTTGGTTTTTTTGTTTTTTTTTTTGTTTTTGTTTTTTGATAAATACCAAAGAGTGGAATAGCTGGATTATATGGTGGTTCCATTCCTATTTTTTTTTTTTGTAATCTCTATATTGATTTCCAGAATGGTTGTACTAATTTGCAGTCCCACTAAAATGCATCACTGTAACCTTTCCCCCACATCCTCACCAGCATGTATTGTTATTTGTATTCTTGATAATTACCATTCTGACTGAGAGTGAGATGAAATCTTAGTGTAGTTTTTAGATTTGCATTTCCCTGATTGCTAGAGATGCTGAATATTTTTCATATATTTGTATTTATTATTTTGAGAAATGTCTGTTTAGTTCTTTTGTTCATTTATTTGTTTTGGGGGGGTTTTTTTGGTTTTTCAGTGTCAAGCTTTTTTGAGTTCTTTATATATTCTGGATATTATCCTCTGTCAGAGTAGCTGGCAAATATTTTCCCCTATTTTGTAGGCTTTCTCTTTATGCTCTAAATCACTTCCTTTTGCTGTGCAGATGCTCTTTAATTTGATGGCATCCCACTTAGTGACTCTTGGTTTTATTTCTTTAGCATTAAAGGTCTTGTTAAGGAAGCTAGTGCCTGCACCAATATGATGGAATATTGACCCTGTTTTTTTCTTCTAGCAGTTGTAAAGTTTCTGGTCTAATTCCTAAGTCTTTGATGCACTTTGACTTTTGTGCAGGGTGAGAGATAGGGAACTAATTTCTTTCTTCTATATATCAACCTCACTTTTTAAAATCTCTTAGTAACCTTATCTTTATACCCATTAGAATTTCTGTGGCAACTGCCAAGCCAATGTTCCTGGGCTAAAAAGCAACAAAGGAGATGAAGGAGGTGCTGGTGAGCCTGGAAAATACGATTCCATCACCAGGAAGGTGAGAAGGCTGGCTGAGTGTCCAGGGAGCCTATGGCACACAGAGTACATTCTCTCAGTTCTTTTACTTCTCTGTCCTCTAGGGTGATATAGGACCACGGGGTCCTCCAGGAATTCCAGGCAGAGAAGGACCAAAAGTAAGAAAGTCTGTCTTCTGTGGGACTCTCAATTGGGTGAAAAAAAGAAAACCCCACTTTAAAATACACTACTTTTAAATATGTGCTAAAAGTGCGGTAAAAGCCCTTTGCAAATGTTGCAATCATTTCATTCCCTGACCCAGTCCAAATTGCATCCCTCAAGCATCCTAATAAGAGTTCTTTTTTTTTAAATTGTTCCAAAAGCTAACAAAATTATTGAGTACACTAGATGATCTTACTGTCTTTCTAGGGAAGCAAAGGAGAGCGGGGCTACCCTGGTATACCTGGGGAGAGAGGCGAAGAGGTAAGAGTCTCCTAAGAGTCCTTACTTACTTACTCTTTACTTGACTCAACATAGGAAAGATATCAGTTTTTCTGTAGCTCAGAATTAATGCCAAAACCAATAAAAAGACAAGGTAGGTCTTTATAAATGGCAAAACTTTCATTTAAAACAATTATGTGTTCATCTTTATTACCAGTGGTACAGGTTTTGAGTCAGGACACAAAGTTAATATGTCAGCTATGGTTTTTCTGTTTTCATGTGGCAGATGACAATTCTAGCTCTCTCGAAATAAGAATAAAGGGAACAGGAAGAGGGAACTTACTAAAAGGAAACCAGGGTAGCTAAAAGGATTGAAGTAGTAATAGAAGCACCAGCCTAGGAATAAGGGAAGCTCCAAAACTCAAAAAAGCTTCCCTGGAACACTCCCGCAACATGATTCAGCTTTAATGATCTTGGTTTGCTTGTGTCGCTTACTCAATATCCATAATCTTGGGGAAAATAAACCATCAAAAGGATCTGAGTAGACTAGTTTAGATCAGCTGCTCACTCCCTGGACTAAAGATCCAACTCAAACGTGCTTTTGAGATAATGATATAATTTTCTGACTCTAAGCCACAGTAATACTCAGGATATCATTCTTGTCCTGCATAATTCACATTAACTCTTAGAAAAACCAATTAGAATGATGAATTGTTGTTAGTTTAAACAGTTTTGATGCTAATAGTTCTTAATGAAAGTAAGTAAGCCATCTGGCATATATTAACCTTGATGTTAGTGCAGAAAATTATAATGGTATAAAGTAGATCTATTTTTTAGTTGGAGTCATATTTCACAAATTATCCTCATGTATTATTGTTTTTAATTAAAATTGATTCTTTTCTAGAAAACTTTGAGGCTTGGTTTGGGTTTCTTTTTCCCCAAGTTAAAAATTAAAGAATAAGAAATATAACATTAATTTTTTATCTATAAATAAAACATTAAAGGCATTTTGTTTTCAAAATAAGTAAAAGTTAATGAGCTTTTGCTTCCTCAAGTTCCATAGAAGGTTTCACTAAAGTATAAGCATAATAATGGATTTTAATAGTCCAACAGCTTTTAACTGCCTGTATTCAAGAAGTAAGCTTTAGAGGTAATTGAGAAGGTAATAACAAAAAGATGAGGAAATAATTGGAAATCAGGGATATATAAATAAAATTCACTAGAAATTGATTTTTGATTCTGTAAGGTACTCTGCTCTCTTGGTGAAGTGAAATCCAGTGTTATTACTCCTCTGCTAATTTGGTATGCTTTCTTAAGCTCACCCATGGGCTCTTTGACGTGGAGTACACAAAATTTTGTACAAACTCATTATGTGGGGAATTCCAGCAAGTTCACTATATTCTTCTTCCTTGTTCTTCACATGAGTAATATGAATAAACCTGAAGAAACTTATTGACTCAGTTGGGCCCTTTGAGAGGAATAGTCTTTTTATCTTTTCTGTCTCCAACAGATCAATAAAAGCAAACAATCTTGTCTTCTACATGGACTCAGATACTCCCTGAAATTCCAATTTGTTGATTTAAGGGAATAAAACTTTGACCAAGAACATATGCAGTTTTAACTGGCCAACAGGCTCTATTGTGTTAACGACACAATCTCTAATCTTACAAAATCTTAAATGTCTATTCTACCCTTAGTGAAAAATATCTGGTGGTACAGCCCCTCCCTTTAAGGGCTTCTAGTTTTAATGTCTTCAATTTAATCTGTTTGGGAACTTAAAAGAGTTGCCTATTTTAAATTGGCTATTTTCTTACTGCTCTTAAAAGAATAATGTTATCCTCCACATTTTTTTTCACAGAGATTATTGCATATCTCAAGATAGCAATTTATAAGATGGTAATAGGCACAGACCCCTGTCTTATCATCAAAGTGAAATCTAGCTTGTAATGCAAGTCTTCTTACAATATTTCAGGATAATAATTGTCGAATAAGGCATAGAAAATATTGTCAGCCATTCAGCCATAAACTAAAGCAGCAGAAAAATAAATATTCTTAGTAGCCACTTAGCTAGGCCTTGCAAAATCAAAACATCAGAGCAGAGAAATAACTTGGCTCTAATGATCCCTGAATATCTATGCAATAAATTTTCATTTGTATTTAATTTTGGTACTATATGCTAAATTGACTGTTTTACTCTTTAATATGTATTTGTCTTCTTCAGCAATCATCTTGTCTTCTAAAATTATCTTATTGCCCTTTATGCATCCATAGTAACTTTTACCCTTACTATAAAATTTCAGCTTGTTTAGAGAAAGATTGTTGAGAATGTTTTTTTTTAATGGAGGTTTATTTTAAAGTTTAATGTGGTCATCAAAGGTTAATGAGTTCCAAGCTTATAAATTACACTACCTAAAATCTCACTCAGCATCTCTAGACTAAGAGACTAAAAGTAGCAAAAAATAATCTATACATATCTTGTATATGTACACATAAAATTTTATTGAAATGTAGGAATGTAGGTATTTTGAGATAAAGCAATTTATAGTACAACATGCAAAAATAATTTTGAGTCATTTAAAAGTGCCATTCCCAAAGGAAAAATTTTCCTTTCCATTAGTAAATGTATAAACTCATTTTTAAAGTGATAAAGTTAAAAAGAGCCAGTATACCACACTTATGTGTGTGAGTTCACCCTTATACATACAGCATTGCCGAGGAGATGGGTAGAATCTTGAACCTAAATATGCCAACATTTTTTAACACATGCATATATGAGATTTTGCCCAAGAGTTATTTCATAAGGAATTCCAGCAGGTTCAAGGAGATTTTCAACATATTTTCATATTATATCATGTGAATAAGCCTGAAGTAACACATGCCCTCATTTGGCATTGGATGGACAGACCTGGCTGAAATTGGTCCTTGAAACCCTTGATGCAAAGAACCTGATGCATCTCGAAGTGCTATAGAATGCTCAGAAATAAACATGATTTTACCATGCTCACTTCATCTAAAAATTATAAAATATATAGAAATTAATACTTCATAACAATAAAAGGAAAAGGAATTGTATTATAATAAATAATAAATAATGTCTTGGTAATGGAAAAAGACTGCACCATAAAGGAAATCAAGTCTTCAAAGAGTGGAACATTCAGTCTTGAAGTTGAGCTTGTCTTTGGTGTTAGGATTGGAGCCCTGGGCATTGTACATGGGAGGCAAGTGCTTACCACTGAGCTACACCCCTAACTCTTCAGACTAGAACTTAACAGATCACAAGTGCATCTGAAATAACAAAAAGACATTTAAAATCTTTTTCTGATTATAGAAGTGAAGTGATCCAAGTTACAGGAAATTTGGGAAATATACAAAAGTATACACAAAAGATCAAAGTTATCTGTATTCCCACTTCTCAGGAAAGACTGCTGACAGTAATATTATGGTTTGCAGTTTCTTATCCAAACCTAAAAGCCTCTGCAAACCTCAGAAATTTTCCCAAAGTCTACAGCAAATTTATCTGGCATGAACTCTGACCTGAAGTCACATGGAACTGATCTATTTTTCCCACTCTCAGAATATCACATTTACTACAGAAATATTTTTGTTTTTAATAGAAAGCAATGCCACAAGCACCACTGGAAGTGCACATAATACTCAATGTGTGCTGTGTTACCTTTACAAGAAGACTGAAAATCCAGAATTATGAAACATGCCTAACCCTGAAGTTTCCAGATAAGACACTTATCTATTTGCCATGATAATAAAAATTTGTTCATCAACCCCTTCTTTTAGGAAATACATTTATAATTGTTTAAAAATTTAGATTCTACACTATGTAATATTTTCCATGTTATCCAATAGCTTTCTAAATCATGATTTTGATAGTTTTAAAATGTTTCATGGTACAGAATTTATGTTATTTGCTTAACTCATTCTGTTGGTACATTGAAGGGACAAAATTAATTTATTATAGAAGTTACCAATTCTTATATAATAACTTATATAAGTTCCAAATTCTCCTTTGATGTATAAGTGTATCAGCATTTAAAATTCTATCTAGTATAACTATAAACCCAAGGAGGGGAGGGGTTTTTTAATGCTTAAACCACAAAAGAATTTCAAATTTGACTTCACCAATAAACCATATTTTTTCTTATAATGAAATGACCAGCTAAAGTAAATAAAACATATTCAATTTTCCACTAGTTGAATGAAACTTTAGTGCAATCATATATTTCCCTGATGGTGTTCTGCCAATCTGAAATTTGTATTTCCATGCTGTAATAGTATGATATTCTCAGTGATGCTACTGCTAATGGGCTAGCTCTGTAAGATCAAAAAAGCTTGATGAATCACTGAACAGGTAAAAGTATGTCGGTCACAAATTCCATGCCCTAGCATCTTAGCCCACCATCTTTACTCTTTGAAAATTAATATTCATACAGAATATTACCGTGGTTCCTGTTTAATTTTCAATAATAAAAACATTTGGTTAACTAAAATGCTTTGTTCCCTATAATAGATTTCATGGTAGAAATTATCTCTTTTAGGGTCTTCAAGGAATTCCAGGCATTCCAGGTGCTATGGGCCCTACTGGACCCCCTGTAAGTACTTGCTAAAATTTTTTCTACTCATAGCTCATACCTGTTGAAATGATACAAGATGAATTAGTATTTCTCATTGTTTCTTGTTTTCGGTGCTTGCATGTAGATTATCCAGTCATTGCCTAGAAAAGTAGAATTATCCAATATCTCAGATTTTCATTTAGTATTTCTTAAGGCTGGTCAGCATCCTGGAGAATTGTCATCAGAACTCTACCAGACCAGAAAGCAGGCTGAGATTAAGCTTCTGTTTGCAATAGAAATGTGATATAAAAGAACATTCTATTTTTTAGTTATTTTTTGGCACTAACCTTGAGAAGAGACATTCAGAGGGCAACATAGCTGAAATTAACATCTAAAAGAAAATATGGGCCAAGGATTTATCAGTTTTATTTTTATACCTTTATGTGAATTTAGAAATCCTCTATGGTAGTCAGGATTTTCACTGACTCTCAAACACAAACATGTTTATTGTGCTATGGGCCCCTACTTCCTTAGAGCAGAATCTCTTCCTAACTACCAAACCCAACCTCATACTCTTCTACTTCTCTCTTTCAGTTCTAGAGTTGCCAGATTAAAGACAGGACACACAGTTTCATTTGAATTTCAGAGAAATAAAACTTTTAGTTTGTCACAAATAATGTATTTTAATTTGTTAAATCTAACTACCCAGTTCATGTGTCAACTTCTCTCTCTTCCTTTCTTAGAGTTCCTTTACAGTAAGAATCTTGACCACAATACTAGGAATGTCATCATATTTATTAACTTAATGTTTTGAATCACAGGTTTGCCACAATTCAATCATTTATGCCTTCACCAAAGTATGTAGAACAAACCTGACTTTAAGTTGTAGTGAAATAAAAAGTTATGAAAAAGAGTTATGAGAGAAACCATGAAAATTATAGCTCATTCTATTCCCAATTAAAATTAAATTTTACTTTTTCATTGGTAAAATGCAGATCACATAACTCTATATGCACATTGTTAATTCTGCCCTCTCTTGGATTATTTAAAATGTTGATCACTACCAAAATGATAGCTCATTTAGAAAGGCATAACATTATGTAAATTGCCATTTAAACAGCAAGACTAGATTCTTAAATGTATCAAAAGGTTCCAATTAAGGTCATTAAATGTGGTTGGCCAAGGTGAAAAAGCGACCACAAATACAAATTTTACCCTTCCAAGGGCTTATCAGCGGGATACAGCTGCTCTATCAGCCTGAAGAAATATAAGCTTGTAGAACTGATTTAATTAGGGTCAAATGACCTTCAAAATGTGTAAGTTTTAGCAACCAACTTCCAATACCTTTTGGCCATTTAGTTGTTTCTGTAACAAACTTAGTTTTCTGTTTTACAGGGCTTAGTGGGAAGAACTGGACATCCTGGTCCCATGGGAGCAAAGGGTGACAAGGTATGGAGGAAAAGCCTTACTTACCATTCAAATTGGGATTAGGGCAAGACAAGACAGTTTATTGAGAGATCCATAAAATCCAGAGAAGAACTGATGAAGGGGAGTGGCTATTCTTATAATGGACTTGGAAGAACATCAGTCTAAAACGTGGTCTGAATACAAGAGAGCTGTTCCAAGGAGAAAAGATAAATAGAGCATGGGTGCCATATGGAAAAGTCCAAGCTGGATACAGAGACCCAGAGAATAGATGAGGTTGTTTGTAAGGGGGAGTTCCAGTGACAGTTGATCCAGGTTTCTATAACAAAATACTATAAATTGGGTAGTTCATAAACAACATCTATTTCTCAGTTTCAGAAGCTGAAAACTGAAACCAAGGTACTGGCAGATCTTGTGGCTAGTAGGATTTGTTTTCTTATATGGATGGCACCTTCCAGCTGTGTCCTCACATAGTTCAAGAGTAACTGAGTTCTCTTGGGCTTCTTTCAGAAAGTTATGAATCCTATTCAAGGAGGGTTCCATGCTTGTAACCTTATCACCCCCAGAGTCTCCGCCTCCTAATACATTACCCTGAAGATTCATTCTATAAGTTTTGGGGGCACACAAACATTCAGGCTCTATCAGGACCAAGACTCCAGACACCTGGATGGCTATCAGAACAAAAATTCCCAAAACCAAAGGCCTTGATGAGAGAGTCTGGAAGTTACGGCCCTAGAATGTCACAGCAGAAGCTCACTAAGGAACTTTCCTGGAAAGGCCAGTAATTGGGCAAATGTGTTGCTGTGATCAGAAGGGAAGACTAGCAATAGAGGAATCCCACACAGGAAGACTTCTCAGGTTTACCTGATTTAGCATCTAAATTGGCCATACAGTGTTGGTCTAGATCAGCAAATGAGTGAAATAATGCTACCTATTCAGACTGGGGAAATAAGTGTCTTCCACCTACTTAGATCCCTAAGCAAAATGAAATATAATGGCATCAAGGAGCAAAAGAATTCCAGTGAAAGGGAACAATGTGTTTATCCTAGCCTCAGCACTTTTTTTTCTGTAATATCACGAGCAGCTTGCCCAATGCCATCAGCCTTTTTTCTCTGTTCTCTGTGGAAATTATTCAGTCATAGACTTGCCTTTGAAGTTAATGGGAATTCCACTCTGAGATGGGCTTAGGGGCACAAGAATGAATGAAAATATGACTTTTGATTGTGTCCGACAGGGAAAAGTCTTTTCAATAGGCACATATTTTTCCTTGTTGACCTGTGAGAACTATGACGTAATTCTCCAAAGAACACAGCCAGCAGTCAGCCTAATGTGACAGACATATCTTAGGGAAAGAGCCACCATCAAAGCAGTTTGGGAAAATATATGCTTGTTCTTTTTCACACATTCTCAGGCAGATACAAAACTTTTATTGATAAGCATACAAATTTTGTGATTCTTTTGACATTAGAAAATGGGTAAAGAAATCAAATTTTGAAAATGAATTAAAATCTCCCAAATTCCTGGGATTTATATTTTATGCTCTGGTTTAATTTTTAATTATTTCTTACCCTTCCCCTTGAAATAGAAGGATTTAAAAGATTTTATGAGGCCGCTATTCTAAAACCAATGTGCAGTTATAGGAACAATTGGTTAAAGACCAAAGAGACAATAACTGCTTACTATGGACCAATAAGTACTCCGTTTTATCAAAAGTGAAATCCAAGTTTCAACTTGAATTCGGTTTTTTCAAATTTCATTTTCATTTAGACTTCTCTTGTAGGAGTCTGTTCAAGTTGTATGGACCATTTCCCTTAAACAGTGTTAAGCCACCATCACTTCTGTTCAGTAAGACACATCTGACTTGGTTATAAAGTTTGATATGAACCTAGGAAATGGAAGAAGTTCCTTTTCCTGTAGGCACAACAAGGGTTATGATTTTCTAATTTGTATAAATTATGTAGATGGTGCCTCTGGCTTCCAAAAGATGCAGGTGGTAGAGGTAAGGCTCAAAATGAGGGCTAATCCAGCAAGCCACAATCTCAGAGCCATAGGAACCTTGCTGTGCTCCTGCACACAAGGGAGGAGAGATTTCCCCCAGCTTCCCTGGAAGCCAAGGGCAGGATCAGATGGTTTGTCTCGTTTCATAGTGAGTATCTGGCTGGGTGTGGTGTAAGAATGAATTTTTCCTGGTTTAAGGAGAAACCAAACTGAGTAAGCTGTAAAGCTGAAACAAAGTGACAAGTCCTATTGATTTCAGATGATGGCTCTCTGAGAAAGCAGTTTGGTTTATAAACTGGGGTAAAAATGTCTAAGCTGTTGATATTCATCTGTGTATCTCTTGCAGGGCAGTGAGGGACCCCCTGGGAAGCCTGGACCACCTGGACCACCTGTGAGTTGTTTCAGGTTTAAAACTTAACATCCATGTGTTTACTTGTGACTTATCAGAGGTCAGACATATAGATGCTCTCAAAGATAAAGTCTTCTGTGTTTTATATATACATATAAATGATAGCCAGTGTAGCATTGGGGACCCAGTTTGTCCCGCCTTTGGCTCAGCCCTAATGTGCAGTGCTCAGATTTGTATACCATGAGTCTTCCAACCTTGGATTTAGGGAACCAGAGCATATACCCTCCCTCTGCAGTTCCCTCCTGAGAAACCATGAGAGTGTCAATTTACCTCATTGATCCTTGTTCACAGAAAATAAAGGGGATTTAAAAAAAGAGATCCCTTCTTGTGATGCAAGTTGGTATACCAAAAAAAAAAGAAAAAAGAAAAAATTATGCTATATGTGTTCATCCTCACCCATGTTGTCTGAGATGTAGGGAATTTCTATTTCTATAGCTCCTGGTGAACATAAATGTATAAGAACCATCCACATTTTGATGCCGGTGATTGAGACAGATGTTAAGGCTGTCAGGGTGCTTGTGGAGAGGAGAGGCGCCTCTCTCACCATGGCAAGTCTGCCCTCATGTGGGTCCATGCTCAAATCGCAGCAGAGCTGAGGTTCAGGCAGAATGTTCTTTTCCACCCTTCCTCATAGGAATAATTTAAGCAGCAAACATCCAGAGAAAGCCCAGAATCCGACTGACTTTCTGAAAACAAGGATATGTTATTTTTTGTGCAGTTTTTATGCTATGCATACATGAGATTGGCACTGTTTTTAACAACCTGTTCATCTTTGTTATACCTTCCCTTGACAAAGAAACAAGAATGTTTGGAGTTCAAATTCTAAAATATACTCCCTCAGTGGAAGAACAGGTCCTCTTCCCCATTCTAAACATGAGCTCATGAAAGGGACTCATGATTTTATAATGTGCTTAAGAAGTCTTACTCTTCACTCTGAATTTTCTTTCAAGACAGATTCAGTTTATCTGGGAAACTTCTTTTGGAAATCTCAGTAGCCTCAATCTCTTCAGGACATGACATTCTCAAGTACAGCATACATTCAACAGTTGTCAAATAAATAAGAAAATAAAAATAGATGGAGAATTTTCTTCTACCACTATTGTTTTGAAGATGCATGCAAATTGTATTCACCAAGCATCCTTGCCCACCATTATTCAAAAACAATGAAATGAGAAAAATTGCAAAAATGTTGATTATTGATCCTATGAAAACTTTTTAAAAGGGTAAAAGATCCTGAAATTTTCAAATGCAAAATTTTTCTAAATGCTGAATTGTGTGATTTTTTGAAACAGAATAAGTTCTCTAAGTATTGATGACTTAGGGAATTTATAGTCTCATCAATTTTGGGGGGTAGTTCCTCTAACCCATGGTTCTCAAGAATATGTTTATAGAAACATCCACACAGGCTTGTGAATAACATCTTCCCATTTACCTTAATTTTCTATTTGGTATGAAGAGACTGGAAAAAAAAACTGCTTTCCAGTAGCCAAATTGTTCCCTATTCACATCTTCATCAGTGCTACAGAATTATAGCCTGCAGGTCAGCAGGCTGTAAACAGTTAGTGTAAATTGGCAATGCAGAAACTGAATTTTAATGAGCAAATAATATTTTCCTCTGAATGCATTAGTGTCTCGTCTGTCAAACATGAACATTATTCAAACCCAACTGAAAGCGTCTGTGCTCCAGGTGTAGCTCTCACTCCTTTTCATTGCTTTCCCTACATTTGCTTTAGGAAAGCCAAAAGTGAAAACATTGTATTTTACTCATAATACTAAACTCACTCACTAAAATAGGAAAAAATTTTAAACTAAAAAATAGAGTAGGGATAGTACCATTTGGTAAAATGACAAGATGTAGAAATGCTAAGGGTTAAAGTAATCCTGTTTTCCATTTCTTTCCAAAGGGTGTACCATTCAATGAAGGAAATGGCATGAGCAGTTTATATAAAATCCAGGTATTTACCTATGGAATTATTTTTAAATCATTTTTTAGTTACAGGTTGCTATAAATTCTTTATTTTTTTTCCTAAAGGGTGGTGTGAATGTTCCTAGTTATCCAGGGCCACCTGGTCCCCCTGTAAGTATAGCCATTTATCATCTAGCACATTTTGGCTGAACTGCCATATTAGAGAGAAACAGACCAATATGCATGTTACAATATGAGCAATTTTTACACTGGGAAGAAATAAGTGAAACCAACTACTATAAAATTGAAAAAAATTGCATGGCCAAAATAACAAAAACTATCATGTAGCATAATTGCATTGTTTTTCATTGGAAATCTAAAAACTAAATGTCCAAGCAATAATTTCCACAGGAGTCCCATCAAGTTGCTTAATCTTTCAAATCCAATCTGTAGCAAAATGTCAAGAGCTTTGTAATGTTGTGAACAACCAATAAAAAAAAATAAAAATTAAAATTTAAAAAAAAAAAAGTAAAAGTTTTTGCAAATATCCTTACATGTATTAAAAACAAATTGGGCCAAAATGTTTAATGACTGAAACAAAATTACAGAATATTATTTAAAAAATAACTTTCTATGTTTTTCTTGTAGGGCCCAAAAGGCGATCCTGGCCCAGCGGTATGTGTGTTTCCATGTTTTGTGTCACTTAGAAAAGAGGTTTTTGTTAACATTTGACAGAAGTGCATCAAGCAAAGATGGCCTGTCTTCTAACGTATTCATCAATTAACATGTCAGAGGCAACAAGAAGAAACGCCAGCATGTGTCTTTTTTCTTTTAAGATGCATTAGTCCAGATGTTGTCACTGCCCTTGAGGTTCATCTCTTTCCATCAGTGTGTTTTAAAAATCATCCAGTGATTTAGACACATATAAAGCTCTTGATAAATGGAACATTTTCTTCTAATAGCCCTCTTTTGATGATTGATTCAGTTTTAAGTAAGTTATAGAAATACTTACTGAAGAGAAATTCCTTAATACATCTGACATCTCTCCAACCAAAAAAAAAAAAAAAGTCGGGGGGGCTGTTTGTTTTGACTGTCTTAGGCAATTATTCTGCAGAAAATATATGCTGTCATAAACCCACTTATTAGGTGGAACAGATCAGGAGGTTAACACTCAGCAAGGAAGGAGATCTTGTCCTCCAGCCACCCAAAGGATGATAATTGTTCTCAGCATCTTTCTCAACCATGAAGTCTCACTGTAAAAGTCCTGCCAAATTCAATTAGATTCCCTTTAATCCTTGGCATTTTTTCTTGTCATGTCCTTTTCAAGCATATGTTCCATCCTTCATGTTGCATTTGTATATCCTTTTAACCTTTGGGTATAAACTTGAAACTCTAATGTACCTAAACCTGAAATAAACTTCCAAGCCATTTTCAAGTCAAAAAAATCTAAAGCCTTGTTATTTTTAGCACAATTTGATAAAGCTATGAATTTTAAATCAGCAAAGGACAAGCAATAAAATAATTTTTGTAGATCTAAATATATTTTCAAAGGAGATGCATTAAAAAGCTTATATTTCATTATTAGGCAATATAAATTGAAACCCAACTTATTTCCTCTGAAAGCATTATTTCAACTAATTAGTATATTCTGTACCCCAAATTTGTAATGTAGAAGTTTCTTTTGTTTGGCTATTCATGCTGCCTTCATTTGTAACTTTGTTTTTTTACCAAATATTTCATTCATTCTTTTTTTTAAAAAAATTTTTTAGTTGTAGTTGGACACAATTCCTTTATTTTATTTATTGATTTTTATGTGGTGCTGAGGATTGAACCAAGCACCTCATGTATGTGAGGCAAGCGTTACACCACTGAGCCACAACCCCAGATCCTCATTCATTCCCTTTTGAATTATCTTTCATCATGTTGATGAAAGTTTCCTCCTAGTCTTTACCTTTCATACTCACACACAGAACAGTGCCTTTGAGAAAGATAGGTGCACTTAGACTTCTTGCTGATTTTTCTGGAGCATTCTTTCAAGTTTCTTGCATTAATTGCAGAATAAGGTGAGAAAGTTTAGATGTTATAATAAAGGATAAGTTATAATTTGCTTGCATTACAATGTGGCTGGCACAGAAATGAAGATGTATTTGAGTAGAATTTGAAGAGACTAGTTTTTGAGTTTCTTAGTTGAAACAAAAGGTAATGAATAAAACCTAATTTCCTGCTTTTAGAGATGTGAATTGCATAAAGCACAAAACAAATATAGAACCACAAACTTAAATAATTGCTGTGTAAATATTCAGGCTTATCCTGGGGGAGGGAGGGGACCAGATTCCCCTTTCAGGGCCTGTATCAGCCTCACTTTGCTGCTCTTGCAATCTCCTACCATTTGCCCTGGATGGAGAAATAATACTTCACATGAGCCAGTAGCAGGAAAATTATAGGTCAGAGATAGAAAATTGCCCTCTTGAGATGGGAAGGTGAAAATGTACTCTTTCAGGCTCCTGTAAGTCCCATGATATTTCTGCACCACTATTTCTAATTGGCTCAGTAAGCCCTTTCGAAGGAAAATTATCTTTAATTGAATTTGTCTTCTGAGGCAAACCATTTCATTCCTTCGGTGTTCAATTGATAAAAGAAAAAAAGTGATCAAAGGACTGTAGAGAATGTAAACAAAGAGACTCAAAGAGTGTATTTCATTTGTCAATAACCCAAGGCTTTCTTTACAGAGGTTTATACAGAATAGAATCTGAGCATCTTCTTAATCTATTTTTCTGATTGACAGGTTACATATCAGTGAGCATTTAAAAGGATTTCTGAAGCACAAAAACTACCAAGCTATGCTCACTTATTTAGTATTCTGGATTAAGTATAATATCATAATAATGGAAGTTAGAGCCTTGGTAATACTTTTGAAGATTAGAACTATGTGTAAAAAAATACATTTACAGAGAATAAAATTTGGTAGCTTGCTTTTCCATGTGATTATGTTTAAAGCATCCAGGGTCCTAAAAAATAATTTCAGTTAACATTAATTTATTAACAAGAAGTCAAACAGCTCCCCCAAATTACCTCAATTAAAAAGCCCCAATATTTAGTCCCAATATTTCAAAATCAACCATAGTTGATAAATGGATGGAACCAGGAAACATTACACTAAGTGAAATAAGCCAGACTCAAAGTCAAAGGGGGAAGCAGTGGGAGGATCCCATGAAAATAGAAAGGAGATCAGAGAAATAGAGGAAGATTATTGAAGGGGAGGAAGGAGGGATGGAAAAAGGGAGGAATGGTGAAATGAATCTGACTAAATTATGCTCTGTACACATGAATATACTGTGAATTTCACCTTTATGTACATCTATTAAAGCACTAATTTTTAAAAACACTATAAATAAATAGAAGGAAAACCAGTAGAATAGAGGAAGTAGAAAGGGTAGGAGAGGAAGGGATCGAAAGTAGAAGCAATGAGGGCTGAAGTGGAGCAAATTATGTCCCATGTATGTGCAATTATGCATTATGCATAATTATAATGCACTAACAAACATTTTAAAAATTAACCACAGCTTTCCCAAATGTTTCAAGGGCCTACAGGTTCCAGTTAACCTGGGTCAGTACACTAGAACAAGTAAAAGGTTTTGTGTGTTTGTGGAAAATACTTACCCATCCCCTTTCAATGACACATTGATTTCATCAGTGACTTTTAAAATCATTGGAGAGGCTGCTCCTGGGGCCATCGTCTTAAGCATTCACATGTCCAGCTTCAGAGAATACTAAGAATGACAAACTGCTTTGAGAGTTTCATCTTCATCCACTCTTAAAAAGTTTTATTCTCTGGCAATCCGTCAGCCCCAGCACCTCAAATTGGCAAACGTTATTGAAGTCCAACTTTTCATTCTAATTCTTATTGAAATTAGAGTTATTCTGACTAAGAATCTAATTAGAATAAATCCCTCTAGACAGAAAAATAATCAAAATAAACTCAAACCTCTCTGGAGAATAGCTTTTATTCTCAAACTATTTTTGGACACAAAATGCAACAATACATTGCTTTAGATAGAGCAAGCCATCTACTTGCTAAATTTCACATCAGTGTTGAGGGGGTTAGGCAGCATTAGAGAGGGTAAGCAAAAAAGATTTTTGTTTTTGAAACCAGCGCTTTAAAACCTGCTGATCATTGCTCCTGCATTATGTTTGTGTTTAACAGGGAGAGCCTGGTGCAATGGGGTTGCCAGGACTAGAAGGATTTCCAGGTGTAAAGGTAAGCACAGAAGTTAGAAATGTGTTCATTCAACATTCAAAAATGTTTACTGATGATCACCTCCTTTTATACCAGAAACTCTTCTAGATTTGGGGAGATGTAAGAGAACAAAACAAAAACTCCTGTTCTCATGGAATGTATGTTCTAGTAAAGTGTTGGATACAGAAACTAAAGGATAAACACCATTGTCAAGTGCTATGGAAAAGGAAAAAGTGGACCAACTTAAGGAAGCTCTAGAATGCTTGAAAAGTGGGGTTGGAGTTTGTGATTTTGAATAGTGTGTCTCAGAGGCAAGATCTGAGCAAAGACTTGAGGAAGCAAAGGAGAGGTAGCCAAGTCCCTCAAGTATAAAGGAAGAATGTTCAAGGACTAAGAGTATGTAGCTCAGTGGTAGAGTACTTGCCTAGCATGTGCAAGGCCCTAGGTTAGATCCTCAGCACCAAGCAAGAAAAGAAAGTTCCAGAAAGAGGAAACAGCAGGTCTAAAGGCTCTGAGACATGACATTCCCTGCTACATTCAAAGAGACCAGGAGAGTGGTAGAAGATGAGGACAGAGAGGTAGGGGCAGAAGTAAGGAGTGGATTGATTGATCATGTAGAGCAGTGATAATCAAAGTGTGGCCACTAGAGGACCAGTGCCAGTCTGCACACTCTTGGTTGTGGGTTTATTGACAATTAAGTACAGAAATTTAGAGTAAGCCTATAAAACTTGTCTAATAATGTCTAAAATTATCTAGCAAACATGTGATTGATGGATTTATCCTGGAAACTACGATGTATTAGAAAATAATAAACCACTCCTTCACCTAGATAGTTTGAGAAGCATTAATAAAGGCACTTCTATCAGGACTTTATCTTTCACCCTGAGTAAAATGTAGAGCTTTTGGTGGTTTCTGAGAATGACAGAACCTGCACTTGGGGACTGTGGGGGAAACAGGGAAGCCAGGTAGGAATTGATGTCAGCTCAGGTGAGAACAGAGTCAGTGGAGGTGGTGAGAAATGTCTGGATTCCAGATGTATTTTGAAGTAACAGCCAACAGGATTTTCTGATTGATTAGCTGTGAGTAGGAGAAAATAAAGAGGAATCAAGAAATAATCCATATGTCATAGCCTGAGTAAACTGGTATGATGGGATGATTATCCACTGAAATGGGAAAGCTACAAGCAGAATCCACTTGAAGTGGTTGAGGACAACTGGGAGTTTAATTTTGGACATGAGGTCAAATGTGAAGATGCCTACTAGTCATCAAAGTAGAGGTAAAACAGAGAGCTCCTGAATGTCCTCATTCTAAAAGTAGAACCTACCCCTGTCCAGCTCGATACCAAACAAGCTGACTTTTCTGACTAGCACAACATAGCTAAATCTACATATGTCTATCACATGGCTTTCGTTTCTATAAATTGTCAACCACCACTTCTGCTGGTGGGCAGCCAAAACTGGCTAGCCAGTTAACAGAGAATTGAGTACACAATATGATACAGTATGGAGTGTGGAAAAGAAAGTTTAAGTGGAGATATAAAGCTGACTGTTCCAAAAATACTATCTTAATGCCAGGAAACTGAATAATATCACCAAGAGAATGACATATTTTTTGAAAAAGAGAAGAGATCAAGAACTAAACCCTGAAGTCCTCTAACATTAAAAGTTTCCAGAAAAAAAAAATAGAAGAATGAGGAATGGAGACTAAGAGGTGATGGAAAGACAGGAGGAAAACTTGTTCTGAAAGCAAAAAGAAAATAGTCAAGGAGAAAGAGTCATCTGTCTCAAATACTGCAGATAGATCAAGTAGAAAGTCAAGAATTGTCTGCTGGATCTAGCAATATAGAGGTCACAGTTGTCCTTGACCAGAGAAATCATGGTAGAAGCAAATGCTGGATTTTAATGGATTTAAGAGAATGATTAAATAGAGAAACAGTTAGTACAATACAAACAATGCTCAAGGAGCTTTGCTACAAAGGAATTTATTATATGAATTTTTAAGACTACAAAAATACTATAATACTTGTATGCTAAAGGAATGATCCAGTAGAAAGGTGGACAACAGGGCCAATGATATAGGGCCGAGGGATGAGAATTGCTGGAATAACATCTTTAAATAGCTAGTACATAAATGGAGAGGTTAGTTAATATCTATGGTAACAGGTGGGAAAGCAGCATACAGGAAGGCAGGTGCTGATGTGTGGGAAGATATATTGGTTGGAGTCTATATATAAAAATATTTTTTCCCAATTGCTTAAATTTTCTCAGAGATGGAAGAAGCAAGATCAAATATGAGAATAAAATAGGGAAAAGAGAGGTTGGAGATTTAAAGGGAAAACCCACAAGGGTGAAAGAAGGGGAGGGAGGAGAAAGAGATTCAGAGACCACAAAGTGTGATGACTGGGCAGCCCCAGGGGCCCTACTGAGGTTCCTGTTTGTGAAGGGAAGTGAGACCAAGTAATTGAGATTATGTGCTTCTCTAGCCATGGGGTAGAGAAGTTGAATTTAGATAGTATTCTGGTTTTGAACAATGAGTAGTAGCAGCAAGAATAGAATAAGAAAGTTAATGGTATACAAGAGAGAGGTTATGCAAATGACCATGGAGTTTAAACTAGGCAAAGGCCATTCATGGAGTGAAGGACAATGAAAAATTTGTACCATCAATGGGTTATAGGTCTGGGGTTTGGGTACTCAGGGCAGTGAGTTATGATAGAAAATAGTGGCCCAAAGTTGAAATGAATGAAATTAAGGATCTAGAGGGGTGCAGACACTTTTATTGGCACGGTCTTCAAATGTATCTATGAGAATATGAAGCAAGATTACTAGAGAGTGATTCAAGGAAATGAGAGATTGGAACATTAGAAGAGGAGTCCTCTTAACATTAATCTTTATCACATGTACATTATTTCAACAAATGGAAGTTCTAGTGTATTCAAAGGTAAAAATTTCATATTTTAAAGGAAATAGACTGAAACTTACAATTTTGCCTATTAAAATTTTTAGCTACATAATAATTGTACATATTTAGGTGTACAATGTTTTCATACACATATACAGTAAACAATGATCAAATTAGGGTTATTAGCAAATCCATTATCTCAAACACTTATCATTTCTCTGTGGTAAGAACATTCAAAATCTAGTCTTCTAGCGATTTTGAAATATACAAAACATTGCTAACCATAGCCATCCTGCATTTTACAATGGAACACCAGAACTTATTTGTATCTGATTGTGTGTTTGTATTCATTACACAGCCTCTCCCCATTTCTCCACCACCCATTCTCTCCTTCGTCTCTGGAAATCACTGTTCTATTATCTACTTCTAGTAGATCCACTTTTTAAGATATGGGTGAGATTGTGATGCATTTAATTTTCTTTTAGTTTCTTCTTTTTGACTGTGGCTATGCTGTATATGTTAAAGACATTACTTCCATCTAAACATAGGTTAGAATTTTTAATGTTAGTTCATCTTTTCCTTTAATTTAATAATATTATAAATATAATCAAATAACAATCATGTAACAAATGGTTGTGTTTTGCTTTTTTACACAAAATAACATTTTCATTTCAACCAATCACTAATACATCTTTTAGCTCTTATAGTTCACATTGTTTTAGTTTTATATAAAGACAGGAATCAAACTTTTTTAAGGAAATCGCCCTATTATTAGCTTTATTTGTTGAATCATATATCCCTTTCTTAATTAACATCCTATTATAAATGCTGGTCTATTTCTGAGATTTATATTGTATTACATCAATATACTGCTTAATTTTATGTCAGTATCTCACATTGCAATTATTATAGCTTTATGTTTAAATATTGGCATTGCTAGTATTTAAGTTTTTTATTTTATGTATTATCTCAAGTGAGCTCTAATATCTTTTGATCAAACTACAATGTTATAAGAAATTGCATTAAGTTTATATGTTAGTTTGAATAGCAATGACACCTTTATAACATTGTCTTACCCTTCAGGAACAAAGCAAATTTCTTTATTTAATTGGGTCTTCTTTTATGTCCCTAAGTGAAGTTATAAAGTTTTTAAAAATATAGGTTCGGCCCAGTGAAATTGCCATTTTATTATCCTATATAACCATTAGTATTTTTAGCATTGTCAGCTATATCTGAAAACCACATTGCCTCTTGAAAAAGAGTTGAGTCACTATTTTTCAGACAATTAAAGGGATCTTTGGATCCATCAAATGAAACTACAAATCCTTACTTCCAGATCTTTCTATTCTAACCCTATATCCAATGAGACAAGTGTAGGAAAAGCTTTTAAGAAGGTACTTGATGGGCCTAATCTTTCAAGTAATAGTAATGGGGTTTTTTTAATACATGCAATACACTGACAACTTTTAACTGTATATATGGAATCCTATTGAATCCTATTTTCTTTGGTTTTATAGGGGTGTGCTATAACATGTGAAATTGGATCATCATTTTGTTGTTTTCTTGTTCACCCTCTAATTTCATGCCCGCTAATATTGATAGCATTTATGAGATCTAAAGAAAAGCCTTACCAAATCCAAATTATTTGAGCATTTGTATGATTTTATAGATATCATTTTAAATAGCATTTTTACTTTAATCCTTACAGGGAGATAGAGGCCCAGCAGGTCCTCCAGGAATAGCTGGAACATCGGTGAGTTATTATGATCTTACATTATTTTTGTAGGTTCGTATTTTCTCCACAATAAATTTATAGCCAGGGATCAAGAAGGACTGGGAAGCACACCATAACTATGGCATTAGGTTCCTGGAACCTCTGGTTTAAATAATAGAACCCTTTCCCAATCCAAGAATGCTCCATTCATTTTCTTCCTGTATTTTTCTTTCCTAAGTCACTTTTATTGGGGTGGTATAGAGGGGTGGAGGGGAAACCCAGTTACCTGACTACATTTGACATATGAGCACAGATAAAAATTTTATCTTGTTTCTCTATTCTTGTCATATTTCAAGGTTTCTCAATCTTCAAAAGGCAGAGTTCTCAGCCCGGGCCTGTGCTTCAAATTCTTTCTATTAAGCTACAATCTTCCTGTATTATCCCTCAGCCCAGTGTTATTAGCAGAGCTTTATCGCTGCTAATGTTTCCTCATAAACTAACCCTTCAGTCCTCTCAATCATTTTTGTTGCTCTCTAGTGTCAAATGTTTTAATCTCATCAAGGTCTTTTCAAATGAATAGGAAGTGCTCCAGGAAAGGTTGAAATCATTTCTGTGAGCCCTCGGGATCATTCTGATCTTCATTCATGATGCTCTAATTAAAATTTTGTGGTCACGCTTTATGAATAAGAGGCCATTTATCCTCTTGCTAGGTGCCCCTGCAGGGCAGGTCCAGTGTAGTGGTATAGAAAGTCAATGAAAACCGTTTGAAAGAGGAACATGGGAAGAAAGAAAGAAAGTACTACTCTCACCACCTACCAAAGCACCAGTCACTGTGCGTCATCCATTTAACTGATAAAACACTAAGTAAAGCCCTATCTGTAATCTATATCTTTATAGAAAAATGACATCCCCTATTTCACTTGTCTAGATCAGATAAATATTTGTATAATTGTAAAAGTAAAATTAAAATGTTTCCTTTAGCAAGCACTTGATTTAAAAAAAAAAAAAGAAGATTCTTCTTGAAAGTCAACTTCACAGTACCATTCTCTCCTCACTCCCTTCCTTACCACCATTCCTAGACTGTTTCTGGAATTGCCTCTTATATTCACATTCTGTTTTTGCTTCCATGTAATATAATTAAGCTTAATTTTCTATTGTATTCACATGGGTATAACTACAAATTACTTTTTGATATGGCCTTAAATTAAGTATATATTCAAAGAAAAATTACTGACCACCAGTGAAAGTCTTTACAATACCTGTGATCGTCTCCAAAGCCAAGAAGAAAAAAAATGCATTCCAAAGATATATAGTAAGTTTTAAATGAGAGGCTGGCCTGCCACATATTTGACTACCTAAGATCTGACACACTTAGTTTAAAATTAGCTTTCATATCTCAATTAAAATAATTAATGTTAGAAAATATGAAGGTATAAAAATTTTACACACTGAAAATATGCAACTGTATAATTAAAGATGTGCTTTTATTTTAATTGGAATTTGCTATGGCTCAGAAAAGTTAAAAGGCTCTAAACAGTGGTGACTATTAAATTATTAATGTACTCAGTGCTAATGAATTGTATACTTCAAAAATGATTAAAATGGTAAATTTTGTATCATCTATATTTGAATGCTCTGAAAATTCAAAGATGATTATTATAGCTGAAACAGGGATGGGGTCTGCGCACTTGAACATATGGTCACTCAGCTGAGATGCAAACCACCCATACTGCTCTTTCTTGAACAGCCCAGTCTATCTCTGCCAATATTGTCAGGGTTGTCTAAGGGCTTCTCCACAGCTTCTCTCTTTACCTTCTCCCAAGATGGCACATGGGTAAACAGAAGGAGATGTCTATGTGTTGGCCATGGGTAGGGCCATCTGATCAGCTGGGCCATGTTTTCCCCAGGTTCTCTGAGTTCTCTTCTGGTGACCTGTGGAACAGCTTCTGTCTTCCACCAATGTCCCAAATTCTTTTTTCTCATATCTTGAGGCATCAGCACCCTATAACCCCATGTCCTACACCAAGACATTGGTCTGCTCAGCTCTAACCTATCCCACTTGAGCCCACAGGAACTTTAGGAGTTCCTGTGGAAGCCAAAAATGTGCCCCCAGACATCATGTTTTTCTAACTTTACCTCTCTGCCATTTCTGTACTGTAAGGAGTCTCTCCCAGAATTCTAGACAAGAAGAAAAAGATTCTTCCTTTTCATATGCCCCAGAACTTACTGGGATTTCACATCTCTCAGCCCCACACCTACATCCCATCTTGTCTGTTTTTCCAACCATGTTAGGTGCAAGGGGTAGAAGGTAGTTCCTTCAAGAGCAATACCATAGGCCTGGGATGGACACTTTGGCACTTCTCAGGAGAAGAGTGTCTTCCCCGTGGTCTCCCTATCTCCATAGTGTCCATCCTCCATACCACAGTAGATTGAAGCAATCTTTCACTGCCCCATTTCAACAGAAACATGGATTTTCAAACCAAGCCAGTGCTTTTTTTTAAAAAAAAAAAAAAAAAGCTGTTCTACTATGAACAGAAAAACTTTCTTGTGAAATTGAAAGCCTGGGGAGACTTCTTTGACCTTCTTTGCTCTTCCTCTCTTCTAAAGATGAGCTGCCGGGGGTGGGGGGAAGAATAAGGGGGATTTCCAATAATGAGGATACATTGGTTTAACATTTTCAAAAGCATTCTGTCCTTCCACCCCTCCACACAAATGTACGGAGAGCAGCGCTCCAATCTACAGTATAGTCTACAGAATGCCCTGGACTCTGTCCTTTTAGGAATGCCATTTTAACGTCAAGACCTACTGCCCTGGTAGCACTTGAAAGTCATGGTGAAGCACATGGCATCATTCAGTAGCTTGGCTCCTAACACATCTCTGACTTGCTTTATCAGGGGAAGCCAGGTACCCCAGGGCCTCCAGGAGTTCCAGGGGAGCCAGTGAGTTGCCACTTTCATCATATTTGTACTTTTTTTGTATTTGCAAGCTGTTTTAAAGCATGTATTGGCAATTAATTTTTTCTGTGGACACGTTTATAGGGTGAAAGGGGACCTATTGGAGATATTGGTTTCCCTGGACCAGAAGGACCCTCTGGAAAGCCAGTAAGTCTTTTCTTTTACTATTTAAAATTTGCCATTTAGAGAAGTGTTCCAAGCATTACCTCTTTACCCATCTCCTCCGAAATTGGGAGATTTGAAAAAACAGTTTTAAAGAAGGTAGGTTCTACAAATGGATTTGGAGGGGCCTAAGTGGGGATTTTAAATGAGTTTCCTAGCTCTCTATATGGTATTTTTACATCTCAGTGATGAAAAAGGTCAGACGTTTGTTTTAAGTGCCTGGAAAGTTCTCATTATTTCTTTAGTCTAAAATCCAGAGTGAAGAAATAAATAAAATGGCCTGTCATTTACTAAATTACAAAGAAACCAAAGACTCACAGATATAATATCTGTATGTGAAGACTAAAGTAGAAGCTATTTTCTCAAATTCCCTCCTTTAAAATATAAGCCTTGTTCTCACACTTTCATAAATCACTGCTGCTGATGTATCATTCCCTCATGTCCTACAAGAGCTCTTAACTATTGATATATAGCATTGATGCAACACTTCAAAAAAGCATTCCTATTCAACATATATTTGTCTAGTCCCTATTGTTTGCTAAGGATGCACAGGGTCATGAGGGAGAAGATAGAAGATGAATCAGACATACTCACTCTCAGAGTTATTCTTTATGGAAGGTCATTGCCTCTTTTGCTTATTTATTTGCTGTAGTCTGTGTGGGAAAGGGAACTCAGGAGAAGGGGAAGATTAAAAGTGAATTAGCAAGCATCACAAGGCTTACGAAGCTAGTTCAATACCTCTGTGAAACATCAGGATTGGTGTATTTCTTGACACCATATTCCCTAAGGCAATATGATAAATGGAAAGTATATGCAATTTATAGAGAAGATTTGAGTCTGAACTATGATCCATTTGAATCTGAACTATGATTCATTATTGTGAATCAGTTAAGTGACATGACATATGGGAGGATTCCCAGTGCCTGGCTGTGGGAAGTGCTCAGTAAATATTGATTATATTCCCTGCTCTTCACCACCCCTTACCAAGTCCCCATTCCTAACCCCTGTCTTGTAAAATCTTACTATTGGGTCCCCAGAGGATTATATAAAAAATAATTTTTCATTCAACAAATAATCCTTGAACACCTGCTACACGCTGAGCACAGTTCTGGTGCTGACAACCCATGGGGTTTGTCTTCTAGTGTAAGAACAGTCAACAAATACACACCCACATTTGCAGGTAGAAGAATAGCTAGAGTGAAGCACTACAGTATGACTTAAATTAGGTGGTCAGAGATAGCTTGCACTTTGAGCATTAAAGAGATCAAGTCATGAAGAAGTTGGAAAAAATCATTTCAGGCAAAAGAAATGGCTAGTATAGAAGTGAGTGGGGTGAGGTCAAGGAATAGCAAATGGCATGAAGTCAAGATGAACTGAGGGAGAAGAATGGGGGATACACTGAGGGAGAGGTAAACAGTGGCCAGCCCACAGGAATTCTAAGCATTGGAATGGAGTTTGACTTTCATCTGAAAAATGATGGAAACCTTTTGGAACTTTTATAGCAGGGAACAAAATTCAGATTACACTTTAATACTCTGTTTGTATGAAGATTAGACTGTAAGAAGCACATCCATGAGAAATAAGGGTGGTAGAAATCAGCTGGTCATGGTTAGGGCGAGTTAGGAGGTTCACTAAAGGGACAGCTGACAAGACTTGCTGTTAGGCTGAAAGTGAAATGTGAGGGACACACCAGTCAAAGCTGTGGTTTGGAATCTGAGCAACCATATGAAAGTAGTGTCACTTGGCAAAATGGGGAAGATTGGAGATAGTAGGTGTTTGGGAATAGAACCAAGAGTTCTCCATTTTGTACACATTCATATTGAAGCACTAAAAGATAGTGGAAATGTCAAGTATGCTGGGGATATATGCATCCAGAATTAATGAAGAGATCAGGATTGGAAAGATTTGGGTATTTAAACCTGGGCCTGGATAAAATGGAGTCACTGTGGAAACGTAGGGAAGAAGGCACTTAGAATATTAAAAAGGTCTAGCAAAGAAGACCGGGAGGTACAGCCAATGAGATGTGAAGAAAACCAGACAAATGGAGTTTCATTGGTGTCAAGTGAACTAAGTGTTTTAGTTAAGGAGTGATAACATACAAATAAGTAATAGAATAGCTGAGAATTTTCCACTGGATTTTAAGATGTGGAGGTCACTGATGGGAGAGATTACAGCATGTTAATATCTTGATAAGAAAGGGTCAGTTGAGAGGGGAAAATTTTCATGACACATTAAGTAAGCTGTCTGTCCTCTCCCCCTGCTTAAAGGTGAAAATTCATTTTAACTAGGAAGACTGTCATTCATCCTTAGCTGTGAAGGGTGGAGGTAGCACTACAGAAGTTAGGGTACAAGGTTGATGGAACAAGCTGGTAAAGAGAAGGTGAAGGAGTTCTCTCATTTTTATTGTCCCAGTGAAAGAATTGAGGTCATCTGATAGGTATGAGGAGTAGAGCATTAATGCTAGAGGTTTGAAGAAACAGGAAAATATATGAAAGAGTACTTTTGGAGAGAAGGAAAAGGAATCAAATTGGGAAATAGAAGGATAACATGGCAACAGAGTAGCTGCTTGCAATCTGCCATCACATACTTAGGACATGTGAGCTAAGAGATACAGTTTTCTTCAGCCAGTCACTGCTCAGAGGCAGGTGTGGGGCCAGCACAAAATTGGTCATACCCAGGTATAAGGTTCTGGCAGACAAGTGAGGCAAGGAGAGAGGCAAATACCCAGGAGTTTTTAAAAAAAAACAAACAAATAAATAATAATTTCCAAAGCAGGACTCCTGTACCCCTTTATATACAAAGGGGTACACTCTAATGATAGTCTTGGCTAAATTACTTGAAGGTAAAAAAAGGACAGGCTTATTTCTTTTCTTATATTATTACCAAAAGCATGAGTTACATTTTTACAGTAGATCTATCTTCTTTTATTCAAGTGACAATTGTTTCTTCCTCTCCTTAATGAGCTTTATCTTTGTTGCTTGTGTACCTGAAATGTAATAAATTCTTTGAACCATGCTCTTCAGGTAATCTGTTCTTAGTTAAAGTACTGTAGATAATTCCCAGGATAGTTCAGAGAGGTTGAGAGGCTGCAGTTGGGTTATCAACTGTGACAGATATCAGCGAAATTTACAGCAGGGAAGACCTGCAGCTGTCTGCAGTTCCATCCTCACAAAATTCATCCCAGCACAATAAAAGTCTCTCAGGCTTTTCAGAGGAGCATTCCCATGCAATCACCTGCTGGCCAAGAAATCATGTTCCTTACCTTGATCGCTCTCTCTTCAAATCAAATCTCCAAAACACATCTGCTGTTGGGCCCTGGGTATTTGGTTTGACCCCGAGTACTTTTCCTCCTCCTATCTACCTCCTGGCCAGTTGTTCTCCCAGTCCTATAAATCTCCGAGCAGGCCTAGGCTTTATTACCACTTCCCAAACTGCCTTTTAAAGTTTAGCAAACTTCCAGTTTTCTAATAAAAAGTCACTACTTAATAGTCTTAAAAAACATGGTTACAGATTTCTAGCTTTCTTTTCATATTTTCTAGCTGAAGAATAACAATGTTCTGTGGCTGACAACTTATTTCATAGTAGGATAAGACTCTGGCCATGTTGTAAAATTCCCTCATTAGTAACTGAGATGGTTACCAAGAGACTCTGTATGCTGGAAATTTTGTTACAAGGTAACAAAAATTCTGTGCCCCAACCACCTAGTGTCCTGGGGCACCTTCTTATCTCCCAGAATGCACCTAAACAGGAAAATAAGTGTGGAAAGAACCTTTGGCTACTACCATGGGGAGCTATGTTTTATCTTGCTGAATCCTTAGTTCTAAGTCCATTCCTCACTTTACAAGTGAAGTATCTGATGCTACTGAGGTTGATGGAACTAGTAAATGACAGGATCAGAATTTGAACTCAGGGCTGTCTGTTGATTTGTTTTTCTATTTTACCACATTGACTCAGCAAACTCTAACAAGTATAATTAAGAAACTGTCCTTGAATCTTTACCCTTTTGTTGTGTTTATGTCTGTTATTGAAAAATTAAAAGTATTGATCATTTTTGTCTTGATAGGGAATAAATGGAAAAGATGGATTACCAGGTGCTCAGGTATGTGAAATGCCAGGTAAAATTAAAATTCTAATATGTAAGTGCATCCAGAATATCTACCAACATTGTAGTCAATCAGATTGATTAAGAATCTCAGCAAGTAGTGACTTTAATGTTGACATCTGTTTTTCAGGGCATCATGGGTAAACCTGGAGACCGAGGCCCCAAAGGAGAACGGGTATGTATATTACTATTGTGATTGCTATTCAAACTAATTATAACTGTACCATCATGTTAATTACACAATTATGCACATAGATACCTCAAAATCTCCTAATATGAAAAGGTCTAGGTGTATATGACCCAAGATCTCTATTAGGTATAAAACATGATAAAAGACCCAGAAACAGGTCACATGGCAGGTACACCTGCCACTTTGGCCTTTATACATACCTAATTCTACTTTGCTATTCTGTTTGGAAAGCTTTGCCCACCTATTGTCCTACACACATATGCCTACTCTAACCATTGCCCATGATTCCTTTTACCTAGAGAGGGTTTTCTCAACCTCAGCACTGTTAGTATTTGGGGGCAGATAAGTGATGTTGCTGGCTGTCCTGTGTACTGAAGAATGCTCAACAGTATCCCTGGCCTCTACCTGCTAGATGCAATAGCACCACTATCCCTCTAATTGTGGCCACTCTTAGTGTCTTCAGACCTCACTACATACCTCCTGGGAACCAAAACTGCCCTGATTAGTATCCCTCTCCATCAGGGGTTCTCAGGAGAATAAGGAAGATGGTGTGAGGAAGTAGAGAAATAGAAAGGGGAAGTGCATTTGTAAGGAAGTTGTAGTAATGCCATTTATGTGATTTGCCTTTATGTAAACCATTTGGGTTGCTGCTAATGTTATTGAAACATGACACTCTTTTCTTAATTAAACCTTGATGTATTCTAGTAGGACTGGCATTGTGCCACTACTGCCAGTTACTTGAGATTACCCTGCATCGTTCTATGTAGGGTTGCTATTATGCAAACGTGTGGCACATGTTTGTGTACTATTGTCTAGTTTACTAATTTTAAAAAATCATGTTAATTTGGGGCTGGGATGTGGCTCAAGTGGTCGCGTGTTCACCTGGCATGCGTGCGACCTGGGTTTGATCCTCAGCACCACATACAAATAAAGATTTTGTGTCCACCGAAAACTAAAAAATAAATATTAAAAAAGTTCTCTCTCTCTCTCTCTCTCTCTCTTTAAAAAATCATGTTAATTAAAAGAAATATGAACAAAATATCAATTTTTAAAAAAAGTTTGCCTTGTCTCCTTACACAGAGAAACACTGGTACTTTGGACATATTTTCATTTCTCACCCTTATACATAATACACTTACACATATTTATATATACCAATATAAACAAATAGTCTTCTGAAAAATATGTGTTTTGTAAATTATTTTCATCTACCAATATACAATGACTGTCCTTGTCTGTAAATATAAATCTACATCTACATTTTAATGGCTTTATGTTTGACTTTTTGGATATGCCTTATTTCACTTAACTAGTCCCCTTCTTCTGCAGTTTTTTTTTTATTTTTATTTTTAAGTTATCTCAGGAATTTCTCCCAACATATGCTGGGTTGATGTATCTGTACAGATACATTTTTATAACTAAGATACAGTAGCACTGATATTAGATCCATCCATTTTCTCTTTGTATATGGATTCTCTCGTCACATCCTGTGATCACAAAAGGTCTCTATAATTGTTCATTTATTTTTACTCTTTAAAACCAAGATAACACATTTTGTCCTTCTGCAAAATAATTACAAATGAAAGATTAATGTGATGAAACTCAGGGAAACACAAGCACCAGTCCATCACATTTGGTGTGGACATCACCTCCTAGAATTGTGCAACTAAATGTTTGAAAATCTGTAACTGAAGCACCCACTGTGTGTGCACTGTCTCCCTCTTTTGCATATACTAGTGGACATATTGCAGCATAAAAGACAACATTAAAGAAACTTCAGGAACATCTAATATGATCTCATTCCTAATTTTTTCTGACATCTTCAAGAAATTCTCTTGTAGTTCATTTATGCCACTGAGTAAACTATCTCAGTGACAACCCTCCTCCAGGCACCTGCTTCGAACCTTTACAATGGCTTTCTCATCTCTCACCTTCATGAGTTGTATATATTTAGGACACAGTGAATACATGTGCATGCACGCACACAAACAGGTAAGACACGAGCACAGAAGACAAACTCAAAGAGTCTAATAAAGGCCAAATATGAGAGCACAGGAAGAGCAAAAAATCGAAAGTTCACAATGTAGAAGAGGTTCTGAGTGTCCTGAAGATTTTTTACATGGAGGATCTCTGATGAGATCCCACTGGCAATATTCCTTTATTATTATGAAGGAGATCCAGGCCTGAAGTGACTACTGATATTGACTTTTCTGAAATTCCATCATTCTAGACAGGCAACTGAGTACAACTGTTTTCATCAATAACAATTATATCTTTAGTGCTTCCAAGGTACCAGACATTGTTCTCAGCACTCTACTTGGGTTAATTCGTGTATTTCCCAACAATGCCCTACCTAGTAGATCCTATTAATATCCCTATAAGAAAGGAAGCTTAAGTGACAAAGCTTAAGTCACTTATCCATGGTCCAACAGTGAATAAATGCAACTATGAATCCAAAAACTTTGTTCTTAGCCACAGCTGATGAGATTCTAGAAAGGATCATTCTTTTCTTTCCTCTCCTTCCAACAGGGTGATCAGGGAATCCCAGGAGATAGAGGTCCACAAGGTGAACGGGGAAAACCAGGCCTTACAGGCATGAAAGGAGCTATAGGTCCTATGGGGCCACCAGGAAACAAGGGCTCCATGGGATCCCCTGGCCACCAAGGCCCTCCAGGATCCCCAGGAATCCCTGGCCCTCCGGTAAGTAGTGCTGAGCCCTTCAGGAGCTCCGAGCTTTATCAACCATATACCTCATTTATAATGAAAGCAATGATAATGCTTTTTAAAATATGTAAAATACACTTAAGCTGGTTTCTGTTGTTTTTGAATTTCTGTGCCAGATCCTCTAAGCCTTGCTGTGCATCACCTCACTTGATCTTCACAACCCATCTGAGAGGAGTGTCTTTCCATTCCACTTTTTTTTTAAATTGTTTTTTAGTTGTCAATAGACATTTATTTGTGATGCTGAAAATCTAACTCAGTGATCACACATACTAGGCAAGCACTCTACCAACTGAGCTACAAACCCAGCCCTCCATTCCACTTTTATAAAGGAACTTTTATAAATTAGGACTCACTAATTAAAGAGAAAAGTTGAAGCCATGCTCCAGTCTGAAAGTCTCACTGCACAGTGATTTCCCATGGATCTTCCAAGTCGCTCATCTAACTACATATCCCATTATAATCTTTGTTCATGTCCATATCTGAAACATACATAGAAAGCAATGGGGATGATTCCCTATGTCACAATATCTAATCTACATTACATTGTACAGGATATATTTATTGCCCAGAATACCTTAATAACCAAATATAAAGAATAGTAAAATTTAAAATTCTAATCATTATGAAAATAACTCCCTTTTAAAATTACCAAGGTTTTATAACAAAACTTTATAAGTGCTAGATTCATTATCAAATGCATGCAAAACACCATTGGTCAAGGGTTAAAAATTTAACTGACAAGATTTACCTACTTTATTAGATCTCAATGACATTTTCCATTAATAAAATTGCTTGATACATTTAATGCTTATTACATGTAAATTATAGAATTGTCATGAAGTGGGCAAAATTTAATGTTTTATTTCATGGATAAAATATTTTATAAAGAGTAATCCAGGGCTGGGATTGTGGCTCAGAGGTAGAGTGCTCGCCTAGCATGCATGAGGCCCTGGGTTCAATCCTCAGCACCACATAAAGTAAAATAAAGACATTATGTCCACATATAACTATATAAATAAATATTAAAAAAAGATTAATCCAGCATACCTTAAGTTCTCTTCCAGCTTCTCTTTATGGATATTGTAATATCAAACAAGGACTCTTGCCTGTGTCAAGGGATTGGTTGGAAGTTGTGATTGAGATTTGAACATCAAGATAATGCTGTTTAGGTTAACTTTATAAAATGAAATAACAGGAACTTTCCTAATTGTATGAAGCTATGTCTCTCCACTAATAGAAAATATGTTAATATCACTAGACACCATTCTAGTTCACAGCTTTTAAAGCAATTATGCACTTCAACTTATTCTCAGCATTTGATCAAAAGATATTTATTATACAGTACAATTGCCAAAAGCATTTTTGCTTGAAAAATGTATTTCTACAAAAGTTAAGTGTGCATGCCAACCCAAAATTTCTATTCTTAATTCATTTTTTCTGTGTTCTATTTTAATAGACTCATCTTTTTTCTTCTTTAGGCTGATGCAGTTTCATTTGAAGAAATAAAGAAGTATATTAATCAAGAGGTCCAAAGGATTTTTGAAGGTTAGGTTTACTTTATAACATTTCTAAATTTTCACTGATTCCCACCTCTGTGAAGAATCCCAAGTAACATTCTTGAGAAATAGCAGAAAGATGACTCTGACGGGCAGCCTACTTTATGGTGGAGCAGCTCTGATAGAAAATTCTTCCTTGTACTCAGTTAAATTTGCCTCCCTGAAATATCCTGTCATTGTGCTGGTTGGTAAGACAACACAGATATATTATCTTCTAATCATATGACAGCCTTTGGGGTGTTATTCAATGTCCCTCATGCTCTTCATTTTTCTCTTATGAGAAAACATGTCTCCCTTCTCCACTTGTTATGCTAGGGTTTAAGTTGCCCTCATTGCCAGGAAATTTTGATCAAGGCAGATTAGCCTTTTGATCTAGATCAGGGTCAGAACACTGTGCCTACCAGTCACTCCCACCTGCCATCTATCTGTGTATGGCCCACACTAAACATGATTTTTTCCCCTACATTTTAAAAGTTTTAAAAATCAAAAGAATCTCTCATGATATGTAAAAATGATCCAAAATTGAAATTTGTCTCTATAAATAAGGTCATTGGAACATGGCCATGTTTATTTCTTTATTTTCTCTGGCTCTTTTCATACTATAGGGGCAGAATTGTGTAGTTGTGACAGATCATAAAGCCAAACAAAAAATTAAATATTTAATATTTGGCCCTTTGCAGAGAAAGTTTTATGATCCTTGCTCTAGACACTAATTTAGCCCACGATAGTATAATATGGTTGCTTAGGAAAAAAAATGCTATTAACATTTTGAGTTAGATTAATATGATTGCCTAAGAAAAAAAATGCTATTAACATTTTGAGTTAGATTAACTAATAACCCTAGATCTTCCTTATTCAACTTTTAAAAATTTAGTGGTTTCTCATTGTAGGCTATTTATTTTGAAAGACTAAGTACTTATGCTTGTTCAATATCTTATGCTTGCTCTTATTAAATTTCAAATGATTCATGTTCAAGCCTTGTTCCAAACTAAAGGTATCTTTTAGAACACTCTTGCAGGGCAAGTAGGCCAACCCTCATAACTGTGTCCTACCTAAATTTTATAAGCATGTCATCATTCTAGTTATTAATAGAAATGTTGAATTAAAAGGTCAAGAGTCAAGGATTAAGCTTTTCTAAATGCCATTGGATTCTTTCTGCCCACTTGCAAATCATCTATTTATCTATTGTTTGATAGTCTGACTTCATATAGTTGTCCTAAAATCCACTCTACATTTCTTTGTCTATTCACAAGGATATCACGTGATTTTCTGAAATGATTTGATAAAAATCAATGTCACTCAAGATTGATAAAGTGGAAATTATTTGTCTTCTGCAAATAAATCCACACTGGATCTCCTGGTTCCTACTTCCACTGCTAACCATTAAAAGCCAAAAATAGGTTGAATTTTGTAAGGAGTAAGATAATATATGCCAAGTCCATCTTCAATTTTTCTGCTCCAAACATGGAATCAGCTATTCTACAAGGAGCCCTGATTATTTTTAATTATAATTAGCATTAGAGACTGAAGGCTCATTGTTTGGGTACACATTATCTTGTTTCACAGGAGAACTAGAGATAGAGTGGGGTCACACTGTGACTTTTAGCCACTTCAGTAACACAACAGAAAAAAATGAGATAGGGCAGCACTGTAGTTAGATAAATAAAATATCCACCATCTACCACCCCAGCTCCGAAGCAGGGCAAGGGAAAGTGCACAAAGATAAGGGTCAAAGAATCCCAGAAAACTCTAAGCTCAAATACTGACAATCCTGAACAACTGAAAGTTTCTTGGCCCTTTGCAGACTTACAGCTTAAATAGATAAAGGGCCTAAAATGAGCAGAGTAATCTGATTTTAGAAAAGAATTTACTTCATCTCCAGAGAGATCCCCAGGGTGCAGTAGCCAGGAGCCATCCTCAGAGGGCCTATCTGAATTTAGACTACTTTAAGGGTCAGAAGCTTCTATATGTTCCCATCTTTGGGACCCCATTGACATTCCTAAGCTGCTCAGCAGGTGGCTGCCTCATGAGCCAGATCTGGCTGGCTGGAGTGACCTGACAGAGACTCACTGAAAGGGCTGTACAGTAGAGTCAGAGCCACCCACAAGGACTAGGGGATCCAGGAACCTGCCCTGTGAGACCGGGGCTGTTGCTAGTCGACTATACATGGTTCCTGATAGCACCTACCAGGAACAAGATGACTGCCTGCACAGTTCCCATAAACTCTCCTGCCCCTACTTCTGTACAAAGTAGGGGGAGTTCATAAACCGTTTGAATCAAATGTATGAAATATGATATGTCAAGAGCTTTGTAATGTTTTGAACAACTAATAAAAAATTAAAAAATTTAAAAAAAACAAAGTAGGGGGCAACTGAGTTTCTACCACTCCCTCACTCACAGGGAGGTGCTAAGGCAGTTTTAGGCAACACTGCCACAAACCCAGCCCCTGAGGCAACCAGCCTAAGAAAGTCCAGAGAGTAACTCCCCAGCAATGGCCATATTCCACCCTCCTTGGCTCCTGTGAGCATCTCAATTGAGAGGAATTTACCCCTACATGACCAGTCCCATTCAATACCTGGTGGGCAATACAGTTGAAAGAAATCAGGGGGTGGGGGGAAATGTCCACTATTTCCTACCCTTGGGCTATGCAGCCCAAGAAGTTTCAGAGAAAAAAAAAAGTCCCTGGTACCAACCACATTCTGCCCTTGCAAGCACTTCAGCTAAGTGCATTTTTGTGCAGTGACCCAATCCTGCTCAATCCCTGTATTCACAATTGCAAAAAACTCAGAGGAGACTACACCTACACAGGTCCTCTGCTTTGGTGATCCCCTGATCATGCATGGCTGACAAGACAGTGTGAGTGCCACATAAAGGGTTCTGTGATTCCTGCCTATAGCCATGAAGGACCTGGGCCCAAAATAGTGTCTAATCAGAGGACAAGAACCTCAGGCTCCTCATCACTACAGGAGCAACCAATACCAGATACTCTTTAATATAAAAGGGCCAATATCAACAGTGTCTGAGAAAATTGATTACCTAATAGAGGCCACTACTCCCATTGCAGGGGTAACCACACAGGGTACACCCATATACTTTCTACACTACATCTGCCTCAACTTCTAGAATATCCTTACCCTTGCATAACCCATAGAAATAGTGGCCCTGTCCAACTCCAATACAGTATGTGCTATTCTCAAACTCACTAAACAAGGACAATGAAGCTGCAGGAAGATTACACTGTATTACCCAGCTGGAAATAAACATAATATTGCATAACAAACTGATACGCCAAAACATATCCATATCTTTCATAGACAGTCACTTGTTAAGAAGATCATGTTGGGGCTGGGGTTGTGGCTTGGTGGTGAAGTGCTTGCCTGGCACATGTGAGGCACTGGGTTAGATCCTCATCACCACATAAAAATAAATAAGTGGAATAGAAGTGTTGTGTCCATTTACAATTTAAAAAAAAGAATTTCATCTCATGAAGGTGGTAAATATCCATTTCATCAGCTCTGCAATTCTCAATATAGAAACACAAGAAATATGGGGAAATGGGTAATATGACATCCTAAAGATCATAACTCTCTAGTAACAGATTCCATAAATATCAAAGTAGATAACATGACTGAAAATAAATTCAAAAGAAATTTTTAAAAGCTCAATAAGGTCTAAGAGAATACAAAGAATGAAAAATTAGGAATACATGCAATTAGAAAGACAATGCGGGACATCAGTGAGAAATTCAGCAAAGAAATTGAGAAAGAACCCATCATAAATCTTGAAAATAAAGAGCTCTATAAGTTTGATAAATTCAGCTGGAAGCCTCAACAATAGACTAGATCAACTGGACAAAAGAATCAGAGGTTGAAGACAGGTCTTTTGAAATATCACATTCATACTGAAATAAAGAAAATAAAAATGAAAGGAATATGGGACATAATTAAAAGATCAAACTTCTATATCATCAGCATATACGAAAGGGAAAAAAAGATTAAGGGCATAGAAAATCTATTCAATAAAATAATAGCAAAAAGCTTCCCTAATCTTGACAGGCATAGACATCCAGGTACAAGACCCATATAACCCCAAATAGACATGACCAAAAATGATCCTCCCCAGAATGTACCATAGTCAAACTATCAAAAGTACAGGACAACCAGGGACAGTGGCACACACCTGCAATCCCATAAATCCAAGAGGCTGAGGCAAGAGGATCACAAATTGGAGGTCAGCCTAGCAACTTGGTGAGACCCTGTCTCAAAATAAAAAGGGATGGGGTTTATAGCTTAGTGGTAAACTAGCCCAGGTTCAATCTCTAGTACTGCCCCCCGCCCCCCTCAAAAAAAGTACAAGACAAAGAATTTTTAAATCTCCAACAGTGCCAACTCACATTTAAATGTAAACCCACTAGACTAACAGCCTATAGGCCAGGAGGAAATGTAATATTATTTCAAATTCTTAGAGAAAAACAACTGCCAAAAAAAAATTACATCCAGCAAGGCTTTTTTGTTCAGAATTGGATAAGTATAGACCTACCAAGATAAACAAAAACTAAGGGATTTATGACCGCAAGACTAGCCTTTATAGATGCTCAAAGGAACCTTAAACACAGTAGTGAAAGAAAAATAACTCCCATCATAATAGCATGTAAAAATATAAATCTCGCCAGAATAGATATACAACAATAGAAAAGAATGAAATATTATCAATAAAGTATACCATCAAACCACAAAGATGAAAGAGGAAGACTCAAAGAATATTAAAAACAACCAGAAGGAAAAAAATGACAAGTACAAGTCCATACGTTTCATTAATAACTCTGAATATAGATGGTCTTAATTCTTCAGTTAAAAGATACAACCAGGCATGGGGCGCAAGCCTGTAATCCCAATGGCTTGGGAGGATGAGAAGGAGGATCGCAAGTTCAAAGCCAGCCTCAGCAAAAAATGAGGCGCTAAACAACTCTGTCTCTAAATAAAACACAAA